CGCGAATCATAATTCAGGATGAAAGCGGCAGGGGATAGATGCTGGGGGACAGACAATCAGAGAACATGACTGATTCATTACCGTGCTCCCCGGAGAGCCGCTTCGAAAACAGGCGGCCGGCCAGCCGCGATACCATTTGTCTGAGAAGTAGATCACATAGATGCTCCTTAGCCCAATGGCGGAATGGGAAACGTAGCCAGCGAAACTGCAGTGTGAAAATCTGCTCCGCATTAGGACCTTGTTAGAAACTGCCAGCCCCGATGGGAAAAAGCAGACATTAGCATCCTCAGTGAACCTGGGCAGTCCTACCTGTGACCCACGATCCACCAACTCACCTTGTGTTTACACAAAAAAAAATCAAATAAATAAATAAAAACTCAGTAAGCAGAAATGATGCCATTAGCAACAGTTGCTAGGCTCCTTAGGAGGCATCCAAAGAAAAACAACAAAAAGGTAACGAACACATGACATAAAAATAATGTGGTCCAGAGTAAGAATAAATGGTAACCAAACAGGCCAGTCTTTAATTCAACTGATGCTTCATTAACAGCACGATATGGTGGAGAGGGCATCGGAATGGTGTCTGATCAACAAAGAAGCATTTAGGCTTAGTAGCACTTTACTGGAGACATAGACAATGTGGTACTGTATGCTTACTTAATGCGTTCATTAACCATTAACTAAGTGTTAAGTAAGCATGTACTACTACATTATTTGTGTCCCCTAAGTAAAGTGGGACCTTAGGGCTCTATAGTGCATAAGACTGCGTGCCATACTGGATCAGCCACTTACACATTATTAAGGGAAGTGAAGTTACATAAATGCCATTTTTGCCCAATACCTTCATTTACCCATATGAATCTCCCTTAAATCGGAATATCAAAAGCAAATGCAAAATATAAAGCACGATTCTCAGATTTTATGCATATATTCATAGAATATGGTGCAAAAATATGGATGGCGATTCATTGCATATTGTGTACTGCATTGCATTCATTTATTATTGTTTACAGGATTTAGAAATGACCAACATTACCTACTTGTGATATAACACACACAAAAAAACATCACTAAATCCGTCCAGCCATCCTTTAGTCATTTATCCCGGTCAGGGTCACAGGGGCATCGCAAGCCTTTCCCAGGCAGCACCGGGCACCAGGCAGGGAACACCCTGGATGGGATGCCAGTCCATCACAGGACACAAGGTGAGGGACACCCTGGATGGGATGCCAGTCCATCACAGGACACAAGGTGAGGGACACCCTGGATGGGATGCCAGTCCATCACAGGACACAAGGTGAGAGACACCCTGGATGGGATGCCAGTCTATCACAGGACACAAGGTGAGGGTGAGGGACACCCTGGATGGGATTCCAGTCCATCACAGGACACAAGGTGAGGGACACCCTGGATGGGATGCCAGTCTATCACAAGGTGGATTAACGTGCCACAAAATCATTCCATGTGGGAAATTCAGAGATGCTAGTTATGTTAAATGCAAGTCTTTGGACTGCAGGAGGATACCTAAGAACCCAGCAGAGACCCACACAACACTGGGACAACATGCAAACTCCACACATACCGGAGACAGAGGCCTGGGTGAGCAGACGTTGGTTTGTCATTATAACAGACATTATATCTTTGTGGGGACTCTCCATTCATTCTATGGGGAGAAGTCTAATCCCAACATGGCAACCCTAACCCCTACCCAGCCCTAACCTTAACCATAAGTAACCAAACAAAACATGAGACTTTTGGCTTTTTTTGTTTTGTGATTGCATTCACAGATCTTTTGGAAAAATGGTCCCTGCAACATCAAAATAACAGGCTTTTATGCAGATTTTTAGGCAAAACTGGGCTGGTCCACCTCTGACTTGCTGGCCAGCTCTGACTCAGCTTATCAGTAATATAAGCAGGAGTGAAACAGTGTTCCAGGTGTGCAGTGAGCAGGCGACAGTCTTACACAGCAGAGCTCTTAGGGGGTCGGTCCAATGTGCATGTGTTACAGTGGGATGGCAACCAGCATCCTCTGTTCAGGGGCCTGGTGTCACAAGCTGGCGACCCAGCACCGGGGG